TAGAGTTGAAAGTTTCAATGCTGGGAACATGCCCTTTACAATTGGAATGTCCAGGCCAGGAAACTTTGTTTTGGGCTGGCAGTGTAGAGGAGCTTCACCAGACTGATTTCTGGGGTAGTACAGTATGTGGAGAGATTGAGGAGTCTGGACTTGTATTCTCTGGAGGTTAGAAGAATGAGAGGCAATCCCTCAGAAACTTAAAAAAAATCATAAAAGAGATACATTGTTCTGTCCAGCTATGGAGGTTAGAATCAGAAGATGAGGTTTTTGAATAAAAGACATGCCATTTAGGACTGACATGAGGCAGAACCTCCTCACTTAGAGAATGGTGAATCTTTGGAATTCTCTACCCCAGAGGATTCTGGAAGCTCAGTCATTATGTTTGTTTAAGAGAGAGAAGTTGGTGGATTCCTAGTTATTAATAACATAAAAAGAAATGGAGATACAGGAGGGAATATAGTGTAGAGATAGATGGTTAGGTATGGCTTAAAATAGTGGAGCAGGCTCAATAGGCTGAACAGCTTTTCCTGCCTGTGCTCCCATCATCCAGATCAAATGCAGGTTCTGATCCCACACCTTCTTGGGAACAGCAACCTGACAGCCATTTCTGCTGGTTTGACCAATTAGTGAACAGATCCTTAAAGCTGGAGCACTAATAGGTCCTCCAGCAAGGAGCTGCTCCCTGCCATTGCAGATGAGCAGGAGAGGGAACTTCCATTCCGAGATGCACCCTTGCCACTTGTAAAGTATTAAAACTGACCACAACTGCCAGACTACCATTGTGGAGGGAGACCCTCACAAAACTATGGAGGCCTGCAGGTCAACAGGTAAATTTTAGTCAGCCTCTGATCAAGACCTTTGTTGTTTATTTTAATTAATATACTATCATGTCTTTTGAACCAGTAGTCATTTATCTGTCAACTTAGTCTCCATGAAAATAGCCAAGAGTTAGGACCATTGCAGGGAACCATGTGACCAGTTGCCATTGGCAAATTCCATGACTATACAGGTCTTTACCATTTCCATATCAGGACCAAAATCCTGCTTCTAGTCCCTGGAATATTTACTCAGCATTGGGAATCCATTGTGACTGTGGCCTTTGAAAGATACCACTTGACTCCATCTTCTGTGCCACTTGTGCTCCCTTTTTCAAATGTTATCAATTTCTATGTGAAAAGTTGTTGCTACTTTTCTGCTATATGGCTTTTACCATGTGTCAACTGGGAACTGAAATGTAACAAGCATTATGCTTCTCCTGGGTAAAGAGCATTCCATATGGGATTTGTTGGGATGGCAGAAAGAGGAAAAAATTCACCTCATTAGTCTAATCTAGATTAAGTACTGATCCCAAACTTGGAAATTGATGCTCAAGCCCATTAGAAAGTACACCATCCCTCCTTCCTGAGGACAGCCACAAGTCTGGACATAATGTTTCAGTAATTCACTTTATAGTATCAATTTATAGTAATGTTTGTTCTGATTTTTATGCAACTGTGTTCAAATAGGTGGGCTGAGATAACCTGGGGTTTGTGTCATGCAGTTTTGATACAGTGTAATGAGTGGATTTTGCTTCAACATCACTGTTTACAATAACATCAAGCCTTTTAGGGGACTTAAATATTTGATTTATTTCTTTTACTGTTCCTTTCATCTTCAACTTAGTCATCCGTTAACCAGTTATCAATACATATATTTCATTGTTGGCTATTTAAATCATCTTCAGTGCAGTATATTACATTACATAACATAATATCTTATTGTGCTTTACCCTTTTTTGAGATCATACGAAGTGGGAGTCAGCCATGCAGCCCAACAAGAGTGTTCCATTGTTTAATAAAATTATGATTGATCTATCATCTTAACTCTGTTTTCCTACCTGATCCCATTAACACCTCAGGTTTTCTTGTGAATTATGCACATACTACTGTTTTTGTTTAACCCAGGTCTGTAGTTAGAAGATCATAATTCCATGCGTTCCTATTACATAACATTTGACTAGCTTTAAAGATGGAAATTTAAGCATGATACATTAGTGTTTTTGTATTTTTAAACTTCTTTTTACAGTGAGTCTGATGGCAATCACAGCACTGAAGATGAGTCCAGCAAGGGTCAAGACGACATGTCGCCTCGTCCATTGTCGAATCCATCTGATGGAATGAACCACTCCAATGTCCATAGCCCTCCAGAAGGCATGTTCATGCATCATATAGGGGAACTGAAGCCCTCCCAGAATTCCTCTGGCATACTACTGAATGGAAACCTTGTAACTACAAATGGCTCTCCTGTGTTTTACAGTGGAAGTTCTTTCATTCAAGGTCCTAATGGAGTCCTTGTTAATGGATTGTCTTTAGGAAATGCCCAGACAATAAGTTTAAGTCCAATAGGAACCACTTCCAGCGTGTTGGTTAATGGTATCTCAAATGGTGAGTTATTAGTTAATTATGTCGCTTCAAATAATTATTTTAAAAATGTGACTATCCTGTTCAACTGTATATCTTTTCAATCCTAATTCATATGTTCCCTTCCCAGGCTCTGCTGGTGGCAATGAACTTAAAACTGAAAGTGTACACATGCTTACTTCTGAAGAAGCAGTATCTTCAGGATCTGCTGAAATTAGTAGAGGCCCACCCCAAGTAAACCAGTATAGTCTCGTGCAACTCCAAAATACAGAAAATAACATTCAACTGGTAAATGGAAATATTGGGTTACCTCCACTTCAGCTGCCTTCTGTTTCTGCTGCATCATCACAGGGTGAGTTTCTTTCTGATTTTTTTTTTGAGAGATTGGCCCAGACAATGGGGGGAATTCATTAGTCAGTTCATTCATTTGTTAATGTTGAATACACATTCCATATTAAACTCTTCAAACATGCTGACGGGGTTAAGTTTAATTGTGTTGCACCAAATTAGAGGTATAAAAAGACTATATTGGTATTGCATTTTAGTTTTCATCATATGTGGAATTGAGGAATTTGACTGTATAAGAATATATTCATGTTTGGAAGCACTGTGCCTGACAAATGCAGGCCCTGTTCAGTCCACAACAGCAGACCAGCTGCACACAGACATCATGAGCTTACTTAACTGGATTGGTATTTAGCCTGGCAGAGTTGTACATATTGTGAAAATCCCTGTTGAATCTTAGAGTAGTTGAGGACCTGTTTTGCAACTTTCTATCTGAATATCGTTCCCCCCCAAAAAAAAATGCATTCCAAAATTATTCCTTGCAGTGTGAATTCAGCAGCAAAAAGGGCAAATGTCTAAAGTATGCTAAAGATGTAATACTTGAATATTTGCAGAGTGACTATTAATTACTGTACAAAAATCCTCTGCAGACTAAACCACCCTGTATGATTTAGCAAGATCACTGGATGAAAGTTACAGGTGATTTGCAAGACAACATACCTTAATTGAAAATTGGCTTTATAGATCTTTTCCTTTTCAGTTGTGAGCTTTAACATCAGTTCTTCGTCGCTCTCTCTTTATTAAGAATTTTTAATAGTAGGAGATTGCTTACTTGCCACTAGATCGACATTGGAAATGCTGTCCCCTGGTCATACCTGTAATCTTGGCAAAATCTTCGGGTAACCTTTCCATGGCTATCTTAAGTCCATTGTGTTCTGCATTCTGGTAACGTGGAGATAGCAAATAATCACTAGCCTTTTACAATGTAGCACTGTTGCTGATGTCAGCCTTGACTTCAGTATAAACTCAGTGATCCAAATGAAGCTGTGCCATTTGGCATTGGTGGCAGTTTTGCATAACTTCCTGAGAAGCAGCCATGCTCCCATTTAGCAAATGCAAACGTAGTGGCTGAATGTCGCCCAATAGTACAGGCCAACGATGGTGTTTTCATATGTCAGGTTTGGATTCCCCTTTCTCAGTTAACAAAGAAGTACTATTGCCAGAAAATGAAAGCGGTAATTGCAAATTTTTAACAAGTGAACCCACATGCTTGCAATGTACATTTGCCACACTGTAGTAGCTGCCAAAACTGAAAATAATTCTGCAGCATTAAGAGTGTGTCAGTTTGTGGACCTACTTCACTGAGAAGGAATCTCCCTGATAAGACAAGTGTAAACAATTTAAATCCTAGACCATTTATCACACCTAGCCAGCTGCTAGGTTAATGGAATCTTAATGCATTGAATTAAAATAAGATTTTAAAAAACACTATTACTGTCCTTGGCAGACTGTCAGTGGTCAACATGAATCAATTTAAATACCTGCCTGCATGTACAACTCACAACCAGATTCCACATAAAGCATGATCATTTTATTCCTAAATTATTTTAAGATCAGAACTGCTTCTTGGATAGTACATAAATAATGCATTGGAAACATGAACAAGATGGTTTACAGGACCCACTGTTACCAACAAGACTAACTTAAAGTTCGAGCATATCTCAACACACATCCACCCTGGGTATCTTTAAACTGAGCTGCAAGATCAGTTTTGTCAGAGTTAAATTTTATTCAGCCCTAACTTTATTTGTATCAGAGACAGGAGTACTAATTTGGAACATTACAGCCAGTTGCACAGACTGGTATGTCAGAAGACATTCTAGCTGCTGATGCATGAGACAGGGTATCATCGCTATTGTTTGGGGACATGTCTAATTCCATTTTCTATTCCTCCCTTTCTTGTATATCATTTTTATTGTATCACAAATTTTATCTTTTCCTCTCAAAGAAATTTCAAGCCTTTGGAAAAAGTCAAGGATACTCAAGACCCCATTCCCCATGTCCCTTTTGCTTGTATCTCTCCTTTCATTCAATCTTTTCTCCTTAATTCCTCTTATTTCCTTTCTTGCCCCCACCCCATGACTCCATTTCATTCATTTTCTGCTCTGTCATTCAGTCACTTTCCTGTCTTTGTTGACATTTGCCGTTTTCCTTCCTTCCTGGTGTTCCATCCCCAGGGAATATAGTAGAACATATTAGGGAAAGGCATTAATTCAGTGACTTCTGAACAAAAGTCACATTGGACTTCAACGATTAACTCTGTTTCTCTTTATACGTTTGCTGTCAGACCTGCTGAGTTTTTGCAGCACTTTTGATTTTTTTCCGGTATGGGGTTCTTTCTGTTTAAAATGTTGCAGATTTCAGCTCATTACTCATGTGTCCTCTCTGAGGGTGTAAAATACTCAGAATAGAATAGAATAGCCTTTATTGTCATGTACACTTGAATGAGTGCAGTGAAAAGTTTGTAATGTTGCCTTTTGGCACCATCTGAGGTACAGGGTACCTAGGTACAGATACTTCAAACGTTTCACAGAATTGAAATATTAAAAAAAAAATTAGCATAGGAATCCAGTGTTTAAAAGTCCAGAATGAGAATAAAAAGTGTCAATAAAGTACTCCAGTTACAGTCCTTATAGTCCTTTCCCACCATGAGTTTGTGCACCCCGGGCTTCAGAACACGAGGCCACACTGCCTCCATGCACTGGCCTCCATTCAGGACTCACTCTGCTCCTGCTCCGAGACTCGGCCCGTGCTTGCTTTGCTACCATCTGGGTTCTGGCCATGATTTGCTCTGCACGCTGCTCTGGGACTCAGCCCGCGAACTCTGCTGTTGCTCTGCTCCCACCTGGGTTTCGGCTGCACTCATCTCCCTTCGTCTTGCCTTCATTCTCCAGGTAGGGTAGGGTAGTTTAATGTGTTGCGGGGGAGAAAGAACTGCTGCAAAGAGGGGTAAAAAAGAAAGGAAAAGGAACTGGCGAGCAGAGGGAGCTCTGACTAAAGCATCTCACTCTGCTGCCATCTTGGATAGGGCAAAGTTATCATAAGGTTGATTGATTATATCTTTTTTCTTTGCATCCAGTTTTCCTTTGGTTTGCAAATCCAGTATTCAATTTGATTTTGTAATGAACTTTGAATCCAATATTCTGTCCACCCTAAAAACTATTTTCTTTCATCTTTAGCATCTGTTGCCTCACTTCTAGCTCAGCCCATATGCTGTCAGATCCTCATCTGGCCATTGATACTCCAGCAGAAAGTGGAGGTATCTCTCATTCTCACCTACCTGCAAATTTAGTTCATCCGAAAAATCTGCTGCCTTTATCTGTTCCCTGTTAAGTCCCATTTTGTGACATCCCCACCCTCACTGATCCACATTGATACCATTCACAGCACTTTTTCTCTCAGAATTTTCAGTACTGTTCGTTTTTTATTAATCACAGTTGAGGCTAGGCCACATTAAGCATTATCCAGCCTTGTTCTCCTGAGCCAAAATTGTTCACTACTCCAGGATCATCTTGTAATTGAAGAGAGATCTCTGATCCCTTCTCCTTTACCAACCAAGCACTGAAAATCCTCTTGCGTGCCCCCTGTACATGTTGAAACCAGTGTGAAAAGTTTTTGAGTTTCTTTGGCACCATTCATTTGGCTGGCTCTGCCATACACCTCTAGGCCTTTGCCATTGCCAATCATGTCAAGATCTGTTCCCCTCCACCAGGCACCACACTAGCCCTCAACCACATCCTTCCTGCTTTCTCTCTGTCTACCTGCTTACTCCATAAGCTCGTTTTGTTAATGAGACCTACTTCTATCTAATTCTTGACATCACAACTTCCCTTTATGGTAACCATGCTAATTGACATGTTAGTTAGGTCTGTCCTTCAGTGCTGATCCCTTCCTTATTTGGCATCATCTTACCTCCATTGCTGACCCTTTCCTAGTGTAATATGTCTTGGTCTTCAAAAACTCTCTTTTTCCTTGCAAACAAGTGTCTCATTGCTAATCTCACTCCCCTCACCAAATTGCCATCTATCAAATCTGTGTCTGTTTTTCACGCAAATCTGTTGGAATGCTCGAACCTTGACAATTGAGCTTCACCCTTGCCATGGCACTTGAACATTAAAGTTAAATGTCATTCATCGCCATTCTTGAAATCTCTGTGAGTGACATAAGGAACATGTCATTGTCCAGCTGAATGAGACAGCCATTCCCTGATTCTATTCTTGTATTCCCAGTTGTACCCAGATAATCTTCTCCAGTGGTCTGTTCCTCTTCCTGCTCCCACATCGTTAGCTTTAGGGTCCCTCAAGGATTTATCCTTTGCTGTCTGTTATGCTGCCTCTTGGTAACTTCATCCAAAAGCAATGTGGTTGATTCTTAACTGCCCTCTGAAATAGCCTAGCAAGTCACTCAGTTGTATCAATCATTACAAAGTCTCAACAAAGAAATGAAATTGGTAGACCACCTGGCATCAACCTAGGCACTGGAAATGACAATGGCAAAGCCCTGCTGACATTGCAAAGTCCTCCTTAGTAGTCCCAACATTGGGAGAGCTGTCTCATTGACTAGTCAAGCAACAGCTTGAAAGTCATACTCTCAAAATCATACCTGACATTGTCCCAGACACCACCATCTCCTTCATCCTTGGATATATCCTGTCCCACCTGCAGGACAGACCCAGCAGAGGTGGATACACTGTAGTATACAGTCGAGAGGGAATTGCCCTGGGAGTCCTCAACATTGACAACGGACCTCGTAACTTAAGGATTTTAAACATGGTCAAAGAAACCCTCCTGCTGATTACTGCATACCATCCTCCCTGGCTGATGAATCAGAACGCCTCCATGTTGAACAACTCTTGGAGAAGCACAGAGGTGGCAAGGGTGAAAAATATACTCTGAATGGGGGATTTCACTGTCCACCACCAAGAGTGGCTTGGCAACAGTATTATTGATTAAGCTGGTCAGGTCCTAAAGGACGTAGCTGCTGGATTAGGTCTGCAGCAGATGGTGA